TTCCATTAAAGGAGTCTTTCTCTTTGTTTATTGACTGGTAATATAAACTAGCATGCGTTTAGTGATTTGTGTTTTTTTTGTTTGAATGGCAGATATTATATTAAAAAAGGAAGTGACTATAACAGTTTCTCCCAAAAATTATAAAGAGGTTTATCTAAGTATTGCTAAACGATGTTGATAAACATGTGGAAAGGGAAAAGCAGTTATTGTCGAGCTACCTGCTTGCGTATGCAAATATTCATATTTTAAGGAGTGGTTTCGGTTGCGAATTACCTGTACCTGAGTACATACAGACATCTTGTATGAAAAATAAATCGTCCTTATTTTGCACACATGTACATACATATTTATTCTGATGCATAGAAATATTGGGTGGTTAACGCATGATTGACCTGCGATTTTGAAATATTTAGTTTACCAGCTACACTACCAAACCTAAGACAATGAATTGTGTAAAAGAAAAAGCAACAAAAAAATCCTTCTAAGGCACACTGGGTCGAATCGAGAATTTAAAACGACAAAAATGTTTACTTTCATGCATTTTACAAATTTCAATGAATATTTGCATCTATGGGTTAAAGAGGCCACTGGTTACGAATTTGATATTAAATTTTCAAAATTCAAAATGGCGGACGACATTTTAAAAAATTATGAAACTTGATATCCAGGGGATTTTGAGGCTGCTGATTACGAATGCAAAGATTTTAATTTCAAACTTTTTCATCCTAAATTTAGGATTCGTGGCAGTGTGTGACTTATGAAAAAATGCTCTATTTAAAGAAAGGGAAACGGGCCGAGGAACTGTTGATATTTTTACATTAATTACTTGCTAGTTTTCAAAAACTGCGAAAAAATGCAATGCGTATTATTAATGGAAGCATTGATTTTCAAGATTTCTATACCATTTCACATTTTTACGGTTTTTTCACCTTATAAAGAGCATGGAAAATTTCATGGGCTTTGAGGCAGTTCTAAATATATATATATATTTTTTTTTTAACAAAAAAATAAGGGTATTCTTTTGTTCATATAGAAAAATTCTTAACATTTAAAAATTCTTAAAAATATATTTTTTTTTAATTTTTCATACGAAAGTCTTTCATTTAGAATAAAATAAATTTTTTTCGCAAAAAAAGGTTTATTTGTCAATATAGTATCGTTTTAGAGCGAAAAATTTAGTGCAGCATTTTTGAGATTTTTTATACGTTTTCTCAAGATCCTCAAAATAGGCGTTTGTTTAAGTGATAATGGCTGAATGTAGGGTATGTGCTGGATAAGGGAGCAATTTGTAAAAATTTATGCAATTTTCCGACCGCACACATACATAGACACCCAAATCATATTCTTGAGCAAGAGCACTTTTTTCTTGACCAAATGTGATCGTTTTGTTGCAAATCTGTCCAGTAGCTTGAAATATTATTAGCCGGTGATCCTTTACATGTAAAAACTTAGTCTAGCTATAATGAAAAATTATTAAGAAATATTTTTTAATTTTTCTGCCGCTTGAAATGTACTTCGCCGTTGCTGTACATTTTCTTGAAAAAATAAATATAGGGGCATTTTTCTAGAGAGCTGCTCATTTCAGAAATTAAAAAATTAAAAAAAAAGAAATCTAACTAAAACTAAAGAACTAAAAGACGAACTCTCCAAGCCTTAAACTTACAAAGTAATCAAGAAAAAATTTAGTTGTATCCGACTTTACTAATATGTTATTCCGAGATGTTTGAAGTTTTCAATCAGTTTCTCCCAGGGTTAAGTTAAATTAGGATGACTACCTCCACTAGAGATACGCTTGGACTAAAAAATAAATTATTATTTTTGTGTTGCCATTAAGGCAGGTACGGATACAAAAGGGAACGCGAAAGGATGAGAAACAAAGTGTTGGTGTTTATATCTGCGTACCGAAAAATGCATCTACCTAACCGATCTATGGTTCGCGCAGGTAACAACAATACCTTATTTTTTCCATTGAATACACTCGATTACAAGTGATTAGTACAGGTACAGGTACTTAAGAGCGTCGCAAGTAGTCGCTAACTACTGCTATGATGACCACTAATTATATATAAAAAGGGACAACTCCTTCTAGACTTCAAACGCACTTCAAAAACAGTAAAGCTCAGACACATAGCAGAGAACAACAATGAAATCAATCATGGCTGAAATATATATCCAAAACAAAAGCAGCGCCGAAAATTTTTTCTGCATCAAGCTTAAGAACTCAACAGTTCTTTGTAGTACCCCTTATGTGTATCACACAGAAACGCCACAAGAATTAAGCAGTCAATTGGATGTGGTAATCAAAGCGAGTATAAGAAGTCAGCAAGAGACACCAAGTGTACACAGAGCGATTCCCTACTTGTTGGCGCAGTATGAAGGCACACCTGTTAGGCACACGCGGAAGATTAAACGAAAACGTCTGGATTTTAACAAAGCATCGGAAAGTGACTGCGAAAATGATATACACTATAACTCACTAACTGTTCCTAAGTTCCGGGAGATGGCAAAAGAAGGTTTGACATATGAAAGAAGAGCTATTGACTTGCTGTGTAAGCAGAAGACGACACAGCGATTTGGAGTGGTTAGAAAGTTCAGCTGTAGCGTTTATGAGGAAGAGAACGTAGGAAGCTGTTTTGTGAAACGACGTCGATTTTGTTAACCGAATAGTTGGAAATGAAAATTGTAATTATTTGTGTGTATTATTGTATTATTATAGTTACTCAGCGCTTAGGATCGAATATATTAAAGTGAACATTTAAACTTTATATGTGTATTTTTATTTAAAAATATTATCTATAAAATTTATATCTACATTCTATCGACATAAATCGAAGTTATACTGGGGAATGGAAGTATTTGTCAGGAGGTTATTCATATGATCGTGGTTCTGATCCAATATGTCGAACTAACCTGTCCTGCATCTGGACTAAGATATTACGCTGTGCCATTGAAAGTTACAACTATCTCAGCTCATTAATAAGTCATACGTATTCTACACGAAGGTGATTGGAATAAATCTAGAATAAGCTTTCTTTAATACATACGAAAAAGTAGGTTTAGAGCTGCGAAGCATGCAGATTTGTGGAAGCTTAGTGCCCACAAAAGTCCCATCATAGTACCGAAGTATACGCTTTTGATTTGGATTTGCAGATGCAGTTGGACCATACATGGTGGGTGAAAGAAAACAGAGCTGCCGTAATGTATTCACAGATGACTTAGAAGCCAGCAGTGACCAACTACATTAAGGAAATTTTGGATTTTAACATAATGATACATTTATAGGTTTCGACCAGAGAAAATCAGACGTAGGCATTTTAGTGGTTGGTGCAGTAGGTCTGAGTGCTTATGGCCCTGCGAATCAGTCATTTCGTCTGCCAAACGACTGCATCGTCTTCCAATGTATAGTTTATGCTATACGGAAAAGCCTGCATGTCGTATCACATTACCACCACTGGGTCATCTAAACCTCACTCGTTACTCTAATAATATCAAGGACATCGAAAAAGCTGATAATAAGCGAGGCAAACCTTTCTTGTAAGCACAGTTTAGCAGTTAAAAATGACTTATGGGACAAACGAGTTGCTCTTGAGTTCTCAAAGGAAGATCTTTGAAACTCAACGAACCTACAGTAGGAGTTATTAACGACGCAACGATTTATAGAAAATGGTCACTTATTAATATAAAGGATATCCCTAAAGCCTTGACGGGAAAATTCTTTTATGTACCACATTCTACTGTGGGGTGTGACAGTTTACTGAAACTCAGAAATATTTGATTTATTTAGTAGATTTTCCATATTTTTTGAAAAACTCTCTCATTGTATGTACTCTTGACGGCTGAGTGGAAGATCGCCCCATCTCAGCTTCCGATATATTGAGATAGGGCGTTTTTGAAGCGGCAGCTGAGATAGACCGTTTTTGAATCAAATTCTGTGATACGACGTTCTTCAACAAAATTCTGAAATAGGGTGTTTTTCAACAATTTTTCTTCATCTTTTTGACCAATATCTATTATTCTATAGCTGCGTTGCTTTTACTAAATGAAAAGGCAGACTTGTAAATATATAAGAGTTATATGATGACACCTGTTCGATTTATAGCAAAATGACTATAAAACAGTGGAACTGAAATACATATTTATAACTTGAAAAATTATTTTTTTTTTACAGTAGGCGTAAACAAAAGTATACCACCCTATGTGTTTACCATTTCTGCGATCTCGAAGCCTTTATAATGGTTTGCATGAATAAAATTTTGCCATGTGGATTGAAAATATGTATAGCTTTCCGAATTTCAGCAACCGAAAATTTTGCAAAATTCGCAATTATTCGCAAACCAATTTAAACAACGAAATAAACGTCCTTAGTATACCTCAAAAATACCCGTACATATGTTGAGCGACGAGAATGAGCCCTTTCCTAAAATACACTTTCTATTTTCTTTATTGAAGGAACACCGCGTGTAATCTCCTAATATTTAAAAAACTGGGATTGAACATTTTTTCTGGGGGACAGAATTGAATTGGAAGCTCCTCGCTGTTGCAATACACTATCTTTTATTTAATTGTGTTAATTTTAAATATGTATATTAGGGTTATCCTTATATGTAGGAAACCAATTTTTACATCAGATTTCCTAAGCATCAACCCCTCCGACGATGCTACTATCTATAGAGACTCAAAAATTTAAAATTAAGTTTTTCTTCATATATAAATTTTCGTCCCGATTGGTGACGGTTAAAGCGTGTCAAACAGGGGTCAATGTTCAGAGTTATTAAATGAAAAGAAATATGTTTTTTTTTAGTTTTTGAGTGCGACATGCTTTAACAGTTACCATTCGGGACCAAAATATGTGTGTGATAACTGTGACCGTGTTATTACCGATTGAGAGGTTGAGACTGAATTTTTTTTAATTTGATTTATTAAGGACAACCCTATTATTATTATTATGAGCCTTGAGCACTGCGACCTCTAAGGTGGTCTATTGTGCGTGGCCCTTTATCCTATATATGAAGGCTTTTAATATAAGCTAGCACTTCGGTGGGCTTTTTGTTCCATATTTCGAATGGATTAAGTGTTGTACCACCTAGGTGAGCGAGTCTGCGTCTAGCGAGAGCAACACATTCACAAAGGATGTGTTCTGGCGTTTCTTCGTCCATCTCACAGAAGCGACAGACGCTCGTGTCTGAAAGATTCATTTTACTGAGGTGATAACGCAGGGAACAATGTCCCGTGTAGTACCCAGTGAGAGTTCGAAGGTCCTCCCTGCCTAGATTTATGAGCTTTTTTGAAGCTTCTTGTGATGGACAGATGAACTGCTTAGCTTGTCCTTGCGCCGGACATTCATTCCAGTGCCTTTCGAATTTTTTGTCGACCCACTTGTTTATGACCTCCCTTAAGTGGGCTTTGGTGAGCCCGCAGAAGGGTTCCGGGCCATGGAATAGTGTGGTAGCTCCGTGTTTTGCTAGGCGGTCCGCCTGTTCATTGCCGTCATGGCCCTCGTGCCCCGGCACCCAGCCCAGTAATACTGTGTTCTTGCTTCCAAGACCGTTTAGGGTGTTGAGGCAGTCGTACACTAGTTTGGATGTTATTATGTGGGACCTCAGTGCTAGCAAGGCAGCCTGACTGTCCGACATAATGCAGATGTTTTTAGAGGATGTGCCTCTTCTGAGGCATTCTCTGCCACAGATATCGATCGCATGAATCTCTGCTTGGAAAATGGTGGGGTAGCTGCCCATTGGTATCGATCTTTTAAAATTCGGCCCAAATATACCAGCTCCTGTTTTTCCATCTTCAAGTTTTGATTCGTCAGTGTACCAAACTTCAGCTCCGGGTTTGGTGTAGGGGTTTCCTGTGCTCCAGGATGCTCGGTCCGCAATAGATACCTTGAAATTCCTAGAAATTACTAGTATCGGAGCTACTGAGTCCCTCATATGCATTATGGGGTCATTTGTGAATTTCATAAGGACCTTCATATGACCTGTCATGTTTCCGGTTTTTAACTCGGAAGTGTTTAGGATTCTCAGTGCCGAGAGACTGGCCTCCCTCTCTATTAGAATTGGGAAGGGCGGTATGCCTACAAGAGCACTAAGTGCATCACAACCCTAATATATATGGTATTTTTTTAACAATTTTGTGCTTCAAATTACGGAAGTGGAAATGTAACTGGGTCACATGTTGCTGAACTAACAATTTTATCGAGGAGTGCATTCTAGCACTTTAGAAACATACATACATATACCATGCTTATTATAATGTAAATAACATATCTTTCTTTTTTGTTGAAAATTTCAGTAAAACCTATATCCTATTCCTGGTGTTTGAAAAAAATTTTAACGTGCTTATTATATTTTATGTTTCCTAACTCAAAGTGCATTTCGTAAATGGCCTGAAAATCTGATCTAAATAAGGTCAAATTATCGACCAACCTAGGACGAGTGCAGCAATAATAACAGCAAAACGGTTTGCCTAACTTCGGCAGCAACGAAAATGAGCTCAAATGTCGACGCCGCACTTAATTAACAAATATACAAGCACTTAACATAACCTCAAATGACAGCGGCAACAAAAATAACAAGAACACATGCATACACACATGTGAAAAGCGACGATGTGTTGCAACGCTGATAATACAATAACCAACAACAACAACAAGAAAAACACACAGGCAACTGTAATTTCAGCAAAGTTCACAAAAGGAATATGGGTAACAACATTGATGACAGCAAGGAAAATAATACAAACATACAACAATACCAACAACAATGAGAACAATGGCGAAACCGCAGAAATTAAAGTGGTTGTACTAAAGGCAGTATAACAACAAGAACAATAACAACAAATGGAAGGCCGGTAGAAGCGTTGGAGAAACGGAAGTGAAATGAATGAAGAACAAACAACAAACAAAAAGGACAACAAAAACAGTCGCTTTAAGGCTGCAACAATAATAAAGGACTACTAGCAGAGCGTCGATAGAGAAGAGCGACGCTGAAAAGCAAAAGCAAAATGAATTGCGTGAAATATAACTAGCCAACAACAACAGCTGCAAAGCCAATAAATTGAAAATGAAAAGAGCGCAAAAGCCAATGAACAAGAATAAAAAACACCAACAGCAGTTAATTCTTTGCAACTGAACCTCGGCGTAAGTGCGAATAGGAAAAGTGGAGTTCGCGCGTTGTATACTCCCTTGCACTCGCTCATATGCATGGCGCGCTCTCAACGCCTATTGCCTACTCACTCTCACCACACGCCGGCCCAGCTGCCCTATAGCGCGCTTATATACTTTGCCACACACAACGGAGCGCAAAAGTGTTAGTGCGTTGTAAACTGCCGCGCTGCTTCGCGCAACCACCACGAGCGCTCTCACTCACACAGTAGCGCGCGGATGAAAACTGGTCAAACCACGGAGCGAAACGCAGCGCTGTAGCAAAGCAGTCAATAACACCAAAAACAACGCCGCTACTGCGCCCATTCCCATTGGACCTCGTCGCCTATTACTGAGCTTTTAGGCCCGCGTGGATGAGCAGAGCGTGAGTGGTGGTGGTGCGCCAGCGTTCGCGCGCGCATGTGTGTGTGAGAGCGCGCAACAGTAGTGCTGCTGTTGCTTTTGGCACTCGATGCGGACCACTTGAATTTAACCAACAATGAGCATAAGAGCAAGCGACTGAGCCTATATGGGCCACTTATGTGTTGGCAAATATGAAATTTGTGTTGATTGAGGGCGCGCGCGGAGGCACTCGGCAGGCGTTTAATGTGCGATCGCATGTGGTGCGGCTATACGCGACGGCGCCGGTCTCAGTTAAACGACGTGTTCGGCCAGAGTAGCAGTGCGAAGAGTTAGTGAACGGGCGCGCGCGTCTCTTTTACTTGGAAATTTTATAGCCTCGACCGACAAAGCAAATAATTAAAGCCAGGAAAGAAAATAAACGAAAAGGAAGAAGAAGAAACAGTGAAGTGAACAGTGTATGTGAAAAGAAAACGATAGAGAGGAAGCATGCTGCGAGTTTTAACTAGAAGTTAGTAAATTGGTGAATTGCCGACGCGATTTTCGCAAGCGCGTATCGAACATTAAGTGAATAATTTTCCAACGCGTTTTTACTAGAAAAATTTGTTTATCAACGACGCGCGGTGTTTTAGAAAGGAAAATTGACACACTGTCGCTGACAGCAGCCATCGTGCGCGCGCGTTATGAGTGCGTTTGGGTATATAGTTATTTGTGTTTGTGAAAGCGCAGCGCTTGACCTTTTATAAGCTTTTGGCAGCAAGCGCCGCGCCGCGTAGCGCCTCTTTTATAAGCCACATTGCAAGCTTACCGACGGCTTTTTGCATAAACAGTGTACCTGCTGGTTCTTATCTGTAAAAGCGCTTTATGTGCGCCCATGAACTGGTGTGTATAGCTGCCATTGCCGTTATCAGCTGCCTTCGCAGCGTTGACCAACGCAAGTAGCTCAATGTCAACGGTGGCGACTACGCGCGCATCGCTTACACAACACGCACTGTCATCGTCACGGTCATCGTCATCGCCACCGCCGTCTGTCGTTACTGTTACATCGTCAGTCCCAGCATCGCCCACAACACCGCCACCGCCACTGCAAGCGCCCAACCTATTGTCATCGCATTCGCATAGCCACGCGCCCCTATTCGAGCAGTTGTACGCGCTGCGTCGTCAACGCGTCGATATGCATCCAGATTGCATGCTGTTGCAAGCGCATGGCGTAACAAGTCCGCGCTTGAGCCCAAGCGCAGCAGCGTTAACAGCTGCAAAAAGCAGACGACCCAGCGCGCCGATGGAAGCATCGGCGGCGGCGGAGGAACCGGAAGAAGATATATGCGAAGCGGTCGATTCGGCTGATGAAATGGATGTGGTGGGTGACAACGACGACGACGACGACGAGGGGGATATGAGATCGCAAGCGATAAGCGAATTGGAAGCCAAAGCAACCGCTACACGTTTGGTTGGTACAACACCTCACGGCGGGGTAGAAGTAGAGGCGGGTGAGGATGTGGAAGAGGACGATGATGCGCTTAGTCTGTGTAGTGAGGACAGCGAATTGTCTGTGGGGCAGGAGGGAGGCAGCGCGGCGAATAGTGGCTGCCACACGGCGCCCAGTTTTTGTGATTTCAACCAACAACGTCGGCTATTGCTGAGTAATGTTGGCAATATGATGGCATTGTGCGCGCCGTCGGCATTTAGCAGCGTACATGCGCCCGGCGCTTCAGCGTACGGCGGCGATGGCAGTGATGCGCGTTCGAGCGCCTCAACGGACGACAATACAATACAGCAGTTGGACGACGAGAGCGTGGGTAGTGGGACGGGACTTACATTGCAGCCACAGCAGGCGCCGCCACCTCTGCAACCAGGTACCGCTATGCTCGATCCATATGTAGTGGCCAGCGCATTGCGTATGCCGGTGCCAATGGTGCCGCGCGCAGCGCCTACACACGCTGCGTCCTTTCAAACGGAATTCATGCGAAAGTCGCACATGTACGCCGAGGAGTTGGTGAAGCAACAAATGCAATTTATGGCTGCAGCGCGCGCCAGCGCTTTTACGTTGCGCGGCACCAGCACGGTGGAGAGCGCAGCTGCGGCGGAAAGACGCGCTTTTGCGCGCGTACAAGGCGCGTCACAACAAATGTCCAACTTGGCGAGCATACAATCACAACTAACGGCCATCACAAAAATGTCACAACTCAGCGCTGCGGCGGCAGCTGCAGCTGTGGCTGTAGCAGCGGTAGCCAATAATAATCAGCCCGCGCAGCATTCACAACACCCGCAATTGCAACAAAATAAATCGAATTTTCCCAATAACGCAGACGCGCTGAGCAAGCTGAGCGCTTTGACCACAGCGCATACGCACCTCTCGCCCACCTCCGCCTCGGCAGCCGTTTCAAGCTTGAGCCAACTACAGGCGCAAATGCAAGCGCATTTTCCGTACGCTCATAGCAATCATGCCAACAACAACCTCAACAATAACAACAATCTAAATGAACCGGCGCTCAAATTTAGCATTGACAATATTTTGAAAGCCGATTTTGGCAGGCGTCTAGCGGAGGGCGCAGCCTGCATGGCGGCGTGTAACAGCAGCTCGCGTGCAACGAAAACCTACGGTGGCGGTAATAGCACCAGCGCTTTACTACGTGCGCGGAAAGCGGCTGCAGCATCGTCTGTGAATGCAGCTGCGGCAGCGTCTTCGGCTAGTGCTGGCGCTAATGCCACCAACTCCGCGATCGCCATTGACCTAACGCATTTGAGCGCTTCATCGACTGCGACCACCACAACGTCTTCGACGGCTACGCTGAACTTTTCGCATACACTCGCGAATATCTGCACAAACAGCAGCGATTCTAATAGCACCGCGGTGAGCAGCAGCTATGGCGGTGCCGCCTCTGAGCATGCAAAGTCACCTGGCGCTGCTGGAGCGGCGAATGGTGATTTTTCAGCGGCAGCGGCGAAATGCGCAGCTACGTCGACGGAAGAGTCGAATGGCGGCGGTAGCAGCAGCAGCGCTGTAAAGTCCAGTGGCACAGGTGCGAGCGGCAGCGGCCCGATTGTGTGGCCAGCGTGGGTGTACTGCACGCGCTACAGCGATCGACCCAGTTCAGGTACGTAAGAATGCTTTAGTGTTTTTTTTTTATCAGAGTGATTGTGAATTTGAAAAATGAAAGAATTAAAATTGGTTCAGTGACTCTCATACCCTTCGCCCCATTTCGTTTAATTAAAATTGTTACTTTATCGAATGTATCTAAGAAAAAAACCTGTGCAACCTCAGGCTTTGTAAATCCACCATCGATCTGATATGCAACTGCGTTAAACACTGAAAGAGGCCTTAGTTAAGCAAATCGATACTCGCGTCGATTTTATAGCTGGTTTTGATGGCACGAAGAAAAGTTCCTTTACCACGCCAAATAGAAATTGAGAATCCTTGCAAAACTAATACGGACATGTGTAAAGTGGCGTTCAGGAGAAACTTTTTAATCTCTTTCCAAGCCGTAGAATGGTTTTGTAGTACCAAATAAAATATAATTCGAATAACATATATGCAATATAAAACTCGAAACTCTTCTATCTTCAAACTGCGTCATTTGTGTAAAAAGCAGGCCACCAGAATAACTTACCTCCATATTCACTGCTGAGTTGAAATTTATAATCAAAGAAAAAAAGGGAAGCGTACTATTTTATTAAAATCCATGTCCGGAATATTGTTCTAGAGGCTTTTTAAACAATTTAACTACATCTCACTCCTTACTTTTTTTTCCGCCGCACAGTGTTTCGACTATATGGAGGCAGATGGAAAAAAGTCATGGTAATAGTTGATAAAGCAAACCGATTGGGCTTAGAGCTTAAAAAGTAAAAGTCATAAATGCAAATTTTCAAATCATTTCCTCATCCCACTTCTCTAAAAACGGCACATTTCCAAAGAATTTCTGGAATTGGCGCGATATCGACTAATTAGTTTAGTTGGCTTTGACGTTGAACCCGTTAAAATAAGTGCTCTCTTTTCTACTGTAATCAATTTTTTAAGTGTCATGGAATATTGAGGTGAAGGTATTTATCATTTATTGTGGCTTAACATTTCTGTATATAAGGTGGTCAAGATTATCCTAAAGCTAACTTAGCCATTAACAATTGAACTTTTTGAAGTTGATTTGCAAGTGAAGACCAGTAAATTAGGGATTTAAAATTATACCGTCGTAATCCTTGTTTAATTCACTATGAAAAAAACATGTTTAAAAACTGGGCGTTTTTCAAGAACTATTTTCAAAATACTTTTTTTTATTCCGACAGAATACCTATCCAGATATAATATTTGTACGGCAAGTTTTTATTTTAAGGCGACAAACCCCTAGAAATGGGCGTGGCCATTGTAGGACTAAAGTTATCAAAATGCAGATTTTCTTGCCGGTTTCGGCAGAATATCGCTTCGTTAGCAACATTTGTTCCACAACTCGTAATAATGATATTTTTGATGCTGTTTTTTTTTAAATTTTTTTTCAAAGATTGGTTTAACAAAAACTTGAATAACTGGGCGGAAACTATTCTGATTTAGACTTACATATGAGATATCAGTGAAAAGGTATTTTCCCACTATTTTTATTTCTGTCTCACTCACGTCTCAATATTTTTTTTTTGTTTTCTTTGAAAAAAGTTAGAAAAAAGCATCAATAATCTCATTATTAAGATTCCGTTGAATTTTTTTTAAATATTTTTATTTGCAAATTTTGTAAGCTTAAACTGTTTTGTCATCTGAGTGGATTTTTTTCAAAAAGTTCATTAAGGAACTATTTTTATAAGTTAGAAACTCCATTTTTGGAGGTATTTTCAAATCGATTCAGCTCACGTAAATCTTAATATTTTTTCGAAATATTTTGGTGGACGTCTTAAAATATAATAGATTTTATAATTCCGATGGAAACACAGTACCGATGTGATTTTTTGTATGGGGAGTGATACAGTCTAATGGATATACAGATGTGTATATGGTCCTATGCAGGCTAGCACAATCCAAGTAGTATATTTCAAGGCTTATAAGCACTCCATTTTATCAGCATCGCTGATTACCGTACTTCAACTAAAGTATGTACTACTTACTAACTGTAGCCAATACTGAACACAAACACATGCGCAGCAAATCAAAAGTTTACGCGCATCAAATAATCATAATATTTAAGGAAAAGATCAAAAATGGTATATCAAACCAAAAACAACAAATAACACCATAAGTGGTTAAGCAATAAATAATAAAAAAAACTCTGGAAAAACAACAACAGTTACAACGTGTGAACAACAACCCCTGATCAACATACATATGTATGTACATAGATACTTCTTTTGCAGTTACAGAGGTAACACCCTCTGGAAAAAAGTAAAATAGTAAGCAGCTGCTACTTTATAAAACAGTAGAGAATAAATATTTTGTATGTGAGGATCAGGGGCGCACCCAGGAATATATTTTGGGAGGGGTTTATACTTCTGAAAATTCGCTTCAGATAAAATCATCATTAAAGTACATTGATGAAAGTTTTATGTACAGTATGTAATAAATAAATAAACTTTTTGAAGTTTCATAAATTGCATTTATTTACATAAAATTAGCAAAAAACTCAAACATTTGTAACCGACTACGAAAAAGGGGTAGGTTATCAATTCGTCGGAATAGTATGCTAACGCATAACTTTGGACCACGTGAACCGATTTCAATAATTCTTTTTTTTATCGGAAAGATGGTACCTCAAGGGTCTTCCCGTAATTTGAAATTACTTGTTTAATATAAAGTTCTATAAACACAAGATGCGCTCAACTTGCAAGAGTAATAAAAAAATTAAAAAAAAAAGAGTTTTAATGTTCATTTTCCTCGATATCTGGTTTCTGGTTTTCGAATGAGATGGTGATTTTTTACGATTGCCTAATTTTTTTAATATTTCGAATACCGAGAAAATTAAATGAACTTGAATTTTTGTTATGTAGGCAATTTTGGTGGAACGAATTCGAAGTGGGCAAATTAAATCTTCGAATCCTTGTTAAGGACATATCAGTTGTAAACTCTTTGAGGCTCAGTAAGTGAGTTGCATTGCATATTTTTAGGTTTCATTCGCAGTTACACTTTTAAGAGCTCTCAAAAAAAACGAAAAATTCATATAAAATGGCGCACAAGAAATGGAATAGGAATTTTCTTCTATCAAAATTTCTTAAATCAATTTGCATCTCTCAAGAAAAAAATGCTCGTATATTTATTTCTTCAATAAAATTTACAGCAAAAGCAAGGTGCTTTATAATAAAAAATATTTCTTGTGATTTTTCTTGAGAGCTGGCTTTAGGATACAGTTTGTATTTCAAGTTATTAGCTTTAGGGGGGGTTTGAACCCCAAAATCCACCCCTTGTGTGCGCTAATGGTGAGGATGTACCTATTACATATGTGTGTATATGTGTATATTAAATACATGTATGCATGTTTGTTTAAATGTGTGTGGCAAGATAATTCGTGAAATGCAAGGGATGACAAGCTGCATGTCGTTTTATACACTTTCTCCTTTCTCTTCTTACTCGAAGGGCCAGTTTTTCAGTGCACGGCTGTGGTTTAAACTTAGTTTAAACGTTCGAGCTGGCTGGTTTAAACTAAGATTACCTAATAAAATGTCAGCTAGCTGTTCAATTTAAACGCAGTGAAAAATTGGCCCTAACATTTAGTCAATGCCTGCGTTCTATCTTAGTAAGTAGTATTTAATTTACAATACCTCTTGTTCTCTTAATTTCAAGTATTTATTTGTGCGTGTCTATGTATATGCATTTATGTGAGTTATACTGAATACTTTCTCAACATTATTTAAGCTCATTATGCTAAATCACCACTTATAGAGCGCATTTCCCAAAGTTTTCTCCCACCATCTGCCCTTTCATGCCTTCCCCTCCCTGTTGTAAACCAGCCACTTTTGTGTTACTGCTTCTCCCATTATTTGGTTACGTAAAGTGCCAACAATTATGGGTGCTTATGTATTTATTTTATGGCACCACAGGGAATTCTCGTTTTGGTTTGGCTCATCCTACTTGGGCCTCCCACTCCCGCCGCCAAATTGACGCTGGGCCACAAAAAAGGTTTGTGAAATGTGTCTTAGTTTGGTTAGATAGATGTTGAGAGTAGTTAATTGTTTTTGTCTAGTGATTTTTTTGGTTGTTTGAGAAATTATTGTTATTATTTATGTAACCATAGATATACATATGTACTATCTGCATTAGGGTGTTCCAAAATTATACAGGAAAATAAACTTTCAGGAATCTTCCCCCTGCCGATCCTCATAACGGAAGAATGTCGAAAATAAGGAGACCCGTATTTTTTATTTTGAAATTTGTTTTATATTTATCAATTCCACGAAAAATTGCAATGCAAAGCCCCGGCGCACGGTGGTGAAAAAACGAAATTTACTAGACTAGTCTACAAAGGCCTGTAATTCTTGAAGGATTTTCATATAATTTTTCTGTAGTTGAAAAATAAATAATTTTTTGAGAAATTTAAGAAGCAACTTTTTTAATTATAATTTAGGGTTCTTTTAAAATGTCATCTTGAAAAAAATCTATTCCAACTTTCAATTTTCTACTGTAACCAACACAGGGTGCTCAATGACGTTGAAATGCGCTACTGAATCCCTTTGAAACTGACAAAAATATGGATGATTTTTATAAAAAGTTACTGTTGCTATGACAACTGAATCCTGTAATATTTTTCAGCTAATTTAAATTTGAAATGTTCTTAGGTTGCTTAAACAATCCTTTGGTTAATTATATGTATAAAATACTTCTTGAAAAAAATATAAACATTTCATGAGCGTCCTCCAAATTTATGCTTAGTAACGTAAAATTTGGTGCAAGCACCGCTTTCGGCAAAAGGAAAGTTTTTGGAAAGTGCGCTCTCGGAATCTCTAAGAAATTAGGAGAGTGGTCCTGTACATATGTACATACGTATATGAATCTATCACTGGTGATTGGCGTGACATTAGTTGTGTTTTCGTATTCTCCAGCACAAAATTTGCAGTAACCAAATTTCGGAGGGTAAGCCAATATTTACTCACAAGTTCAGCTGTCAGTTCTGCGCCCTCAATTTCCCCTCTTTTGCTAGT